TTTCGCTTACACTACGTAGAATGAGAGATACGGCTCTTTCTACTCGCTGTCATGTTAGACTCCTTGGTCCGTGTTTCAAGACGGGTCGAAATCTACCATTTCGTCCATGATACTTGAGATAAATCATACATAGTCAAGTAGATACACATTCCACATTCACAGACACCATCATTTCCACAAATTGAAAAATTTCGGAAATCATGGGCAACTTGAATATAGCCTTGCATCTACTTTTACCATGTACATGGACATCCCATGGAAATAACCAACATTCACAAAAAAATATAATAATTTTTGCAAACTAGGATTTCCAGGGTCATTTTATAAAAAAACACTGGTAGATTGCGCTTCCCTCTCAACGGTTTCAAGTACTATTGCACTCTCCTTTCAAAGTCCTTTTCATCTTTCCCTCACGGTACTTGTTCGCTATCGGTCTCTCTTTCATATTTAGCCTTGGATGATATATAACACCCAACTCATTAAGGCTGTACTACCAAACAACCCGACTCTACCGTTCCTAGTATCGTAACGCATGACACTGAAAAAGATAAACGGGATTATCACCCTCCACGATATTCCATTCCAGGAAATTTGCTTTTTCTTTCATGCAAATACTAGAAAACATTGAAATATACATCTCCTTTTCAAAAAGAAAAAGGATTTTCAAATTGAGCTACTCCCACTTCGCTCGCCGCTACTATGGGAATTCCAGTTGGTTTCTTTTCCTCCGCTTAATAATATGCTTAAGTTCAGCGGGTAACCTCGTCTGATTGGAGGTCTCAATAATAGCAAATTGTCTACGAAGAGAACAGTGTAAAGTACATATATACGTACATACAACAAGACTGCAAAACTAGGAAATGATCATGACGATGAAAATAGATATCAATTCTCATCACTTTCAATACCTATCCTAGTTTCATGACCATGCTGTTTTTCATTCTTCATTATATCGAGGAAAGACTTTCAAATCTATTCATGATTGAAAACAATGACATGTGTCACTTTAAATCCATCACAAATAGAATGAATATCTTTCTCAAATAATAAAGACATGTACTCTACTGTCTTCTTCTCTAGACAAATTGTTCAATTCTTCCATTCATTCATCCATCATATGTATAAATATACNATGAACAAATCCCTGAAAGAAAATACAATGATGATTAAACTTATCATCACCAACTCGTGTCGAAATACTCGATTCAATGATCATCAAGTCATTTCCCATCCATCTACTTGAGTATTGCATCCCAATAAATGATGTATATGAAAGACACTCCAACAGACGTGCTTCCAAGGAAAAATAAACTTGAAAGCGCAACTTGCGTTCAAAGATTCAATGATTCACGAAAACTTGCAGTTCACACTACATTTCGCTTTTTGCCGCGTTCTTCATCGTAAAGAGAGCCGAGATATCCAACGTTGAGAGCTTTATTCTTTTTCTAGTTGCTATTTTTAGATTATTTCTATTTTTGGTAACATACTCTCAAAAAGGGAGAAAATGGATAATACAGAGGAAAATAAAAAAGAGAGAAAAAGAAAAAGATAATGAGAAATAGAGAAAATAGAGAAAATAGAGAAATAGAGAAACAATGAGAAATGATGAGAAATAGAGAAAGATTATTTTTCTCTCTCTCTTTTTCTTTCTATTCTTTTTCTTTTTTTTCTCTTCTTTTTCTCTGCTTTTTCTCTATCTTGCTTCTCTCTCCCTTTCTTCCTTTCGTGCAGTGCACAGGGTGTATATATTATATATATGGATAGATAGATAGAAAAATAGATATACATCGATAAAGAAAGTTTAGAAAATACTCGCATACTTTCCTCACTCTTCCCTTTCTCCACCCATTATATACCTCTCTCACATCAACCTATCCATATACCTTCCAACTGTGAATGATCCTTCCGCAGGTTCACCTACGGAAACCTTGTTACGACTTCTCCTTCCTCTAAACAATAAGGTTCAACGTACTTTTCATCTTATCCTTTCAAATCAAAAAATAAAACAAGCCGTACGCTTCACCGGATCGTTCAATCGGTAGGAGCGACGGGCGGTGTGTACAAAGGGCAGGGACGTATTCAACGCAAGTTGATGACTCGCGTTTACAAGGAATTCCTCGTTCATAAATACAGTTACAGTATTCAATCCCAAGCACGATGCAATTTCAAAGTTTGCCATACTCTTCTCAGAAATGGTCTCTTACAACTATTTGATCGCATCAGTGTAGCCCGCGTGCAGCCCAGGACATCAAAGGGCATCACAGACCTGTTATTGCCTAAAACTTCCATCCGTGAAAAACGAATAGTACCTCTAAGAAGTATATATCGTATATCTTCACATACAATATAACTAGTTAGCAGGAAAAGGTCTCGTTCGTTAACGGAATTAACCAGACAAATCACTCCACCAACTAAGAACGGCCATGCACCACCACCCATAAAATCAAGAAAGAGCTATCAATCTGTCAATCATGATCATGTCCGGACCTGGTAAGTTGCCCCGTGTTGAGTCAAATTAAGCCGCAGGCTCCACTCCTGGTGGTGCCCTTCCGTCAATTCCTTTAAGTTTCAGACTTGCGACCATACTCCCCCCAGAACCCAAATTCTTTGGTTTCCCGAATAAAAAGGATGTACGATTGACTTGTCAATACACCATCTTTAAGATGGCAACGTTTATGGTTAAGACTACGACGGTATCTAATCGTCTTCGATCCCCTAACTTTCGTCCTTGATCAATGGGAATATCCTTGCCAAACGCTTTCGCAACTGTTCGTCTTCCAAAAATCCAAGAATTTCACCTCTGACTAGGGAATACAAATGGCCCCAACTACCCCTATTGATGCATTTTCAATCAATAAAACTTCCTACTAAAGTCTTATCAATACATAAATACTATTATACCATGCTAAGCTATACTTTCACAAGAAGCGCTTGAAACACTCTAATTTTTTCACAGTAAATCAAAATCAATGTCAAAAATCAATCAATCAAGATCAATTCAAAACATTCATTTCAAAATGAGTGTCGTCCATTCATACTCTTTCAAAAAAAAGAGTAAAATGAAAAACATCTCACAGTTCAGACTACGGGCGTTTTAACTGCAACAACGTTCGTGTACGCTATTGGAGCTGGAATTACCGCGGCTGCTGGCACCAGACTTGCCCTCCAATCGTTACTTCGTTACGCGTTTACATAAACGTCATGCCAATAAAATAACACTTAGTGTTATCTATCAGTATTTCTTGTCGCTACCTCCCTGTGTCAGGATTGGGTAATTTGCGCGCCTGCTGCCATCCTTGGATGTGGTAGCCATCTCTCAGGCTCCCTCTCCGGAATCGAACCCTAATTCCCCGTTACCCGTCAACACCACGGTAGGCCTCAATCCTACCGTCAAAAGTTGATAGGGCAGATATTCAAACAATGCGTCAATAGTACAAATACTATCAATCCACAAAATTATCATGATTCAACATTCAACACTAAACCCTGTGACAGGAAAAGTGTAAAGTAGGACCACTAATAAGTGCAATTCCCAAAAATGGAAATAGGGCATGTATTAGCTCTAGCATTACTAGGGTTATCCATATAACAAACTAACATTGTGTAGATTATAACTGTTTTAATGAGCCATTCACAGTCTCGCCATCCATGTGGCTTATACTGGCATTTGCATGGCTTAATCCTTGAGACAAGCATACGCGACCCGCAGGATCAACGGGGTATCATGTATATACAACACAAAGAAAAGAGAGAAAATGACCATAAAATTGATTGATATACACACAAAAACAGCACAATAGAAACAACATGAATATACACACATAAAATGTACATACCATAAGTCAAAAAATTGTATCTTTGTGTCGTACACAATTTTGGTGGAATTTTCACCTTTTTTCTTCCTCTTCCTCTTTTCCTAAACTGGAAAAGATGGAAATTTTACTTTTTTCTTTCGAATAATAAATGTCTCAATGAAACCCCAAAACAACAGATGGGATCCATTTATAACATTCATCATTGAAAAAACCATCCTTTGTTTCATTCCTTTGTCTTGTTGGAAGAAAATACATCTCTTAAAATACTACTTACTATTTTACATTCAGTACTGTGATTCACACAAAAATGAAATCATGACAATACATAAATGAAAATAGAGTAGCAGAGGTTTCCTTCAAAAAGACAAAAAACATATAGTCCATTCTATAAAGATGAGCGGCGAATGAAAATTCAAGCCAAATAATCTCTTACTCATCAAGATGGAAACTATATTCATACTTTTGAATCAAAATAACATTACCAAATCATCGGTAGTAATACATCAACTCCTAATCATACTATATACATCACAACATGCAGTATACAGAAAAAGTTCCAAAAGAGACAAAGAAAAAGAGACATAAAGACACGCAAATACATACATACATACATCTATGTAGTACGCACAAGCACATCTTCAACATCCTTCTTCTTTCTTTCTCTTTTGAAACCATTCTGATTACCCAGTTTTGAAATCAATGGCAAAGATGGATTACAAATCATGTATCATTGGAAAGGGGCTACCCCCATTCAGGGATTCCCCACTCCCAAATTCAATCATCATCTTCATCCATACATACAGCCATTCAACTTTCGCATATCACTCCACTTTACTCGTCTTTGAAAACTAGTAAAAGTGGTTTTCTTCTTGTCTGTCTGGCTTCATTTTTCTGGAAAAAAATGCTATTTAAAAAGCCAAAAGTGACGGTTCGTTGCGCGGGCTTTTGAGATGAATCAAATGATGACACGTGGCAACAAAACAGTTTGAAACTCAACAAAAGGAAAACAAACCAACACTCTTTTTTTATTATACAAACAATAAAAACCTAGCTTTTAAGCCCCTCTCAAAAAAAACCAACTCTCTCTTGTTTTCCACTACAAATATATATATATATATATATATATAGATATACGAGTGTCTAGAAAATAAACCCATCTTCCTAATTGTCACTCTTGTGTGAGGGGATACACACAATAAAAACAACTCAAAAGGTCAAAACTCTTCAAACTTTCATAGTGAGGTCCAAAATCTCCTTCAAAAGCAAAGTTTCAAAAGGAGAGAACATTTCCAATACTCCCTATTGTATACACACACACAAACACTAAAGTAGAAGAGTTCATAGCTCTATACAATAAAAAAAGGAGGATAAACCCTCACACCCCTCCTCTCTCTCTTCTACTTGACAAGGCAAGACTATTTGTGAAAAAATAGAACAAAAAACACCCAAAAAAATGTAACCTAAAAGTTGAGTTGCTACTTGAATAACTTGTCCTTTGACACAAAAGTACAACAAAAATTTCAAACTCTACATGATGTCCTCAACATTTCAAATGATTGGATGATTATTCTTTGAACCTTGGTCCCAACATGGTTGCTGTTGTACGTTGCTGAAAAAGTAACAACCATCAAACTTTCTCAAGTTGTATCGGAAAAATATCAAGTCGATCTTCTAGCACCATTCCCTAGCTTGTAGTTTTCTCATTCAACAAAAAGGGATAAAGAGTCGTTGTGTAAACATACACAACTTTGTTTTGAAACAACTCCAAAAAAGAAAGACTCTAGTGAGTTGGAAGCAGCAATCATAGTTGGGTATTACTTGTAGTGATTGAGCTTTTTCCAAAACATAGTCGCAAGTTTGAAATTGACGGAATTATCGTTAAGAACAGTTTGCAGTTGACTATACAAAAGTAGTTACACCCTTTTATTTCTTTCGAGCAAAAGAAATTCTCAACTAGTTACCTCACCATGTAAAAACAACTCTATAAAGACATATCAACTTGGTTCCTGGAATAGAAAACCTAGTATAAATACTCTTACTCTCTTTAGAAACTCATCGTGTTTCCACAAAAAGCTTTCCCATTTCTTTCCTAGTGATGAACAGGATACATAGATATACACACAACGTGACAAATGACTTGTTACACTTCCCATCGAAATTCCAACTACTGCGAGTAACCAATCAAACAAACCAACTTGTTATAAAAATTCTCAAGTCTTTTTACAAAAATAGTTGAAAGAGCAAACTTGAAAGATCGTATTGCTTTTGCAATAAAAGGTAAAATCGGAAGAGCGGTTTTCTTTTTCACTTTGACCTCCAACTGCTTAAACTTTGGTACAAAATGGAAAGTTTCTCCCTTTTAGATGGTGTCACTTTCAACCACGTAAATAAAAGTCTGGTACTTGTGTCACAAAAACCAAGACTCTGTTACAGACTGGACAACAACTGAAACAACTCGTCCAAAAAGCTTTCTCAACCACTTTCAGAATTTTTCTTTAAGCAACACAACCAAAAAGGAATCCCATCAATATTTGAATGACATTTGTAATGTTAAACTACAAGATGAGAAATATTTTCCCATATAAAAAAAAGTTCATATAGATAGACTATAAATGACATCCACCATTCAGAGAAAATGTCTTGTGTGTTTTGACTATTAATTACAGCATTGGATTTTCTGCTTGTCAACTTGCCAGTTGTGTCTGTTTGACACTTTAAAACCTTTTATTCCCTACTTTACATATGTGGCAGTTCTATCTACCTTGACTTTCTTTATCGCTCTAGGAAAAGAATATGACAATTTCAGACAAGATAAAATTGCCAACACTAGAAAATACAATTCAAGTATTTTGCAGTCAACTACGGAACAAGTCAAGGCTTGGAACCAATAGTAGTGCAGTTTCCACGTCCTAGATTCATTTTACAATTCTTTCTGTTAGCCATTGCGTCGAAAATCCTTCAAAGGGTAACAGAATCCACTCTTTTCTTCAAGTTTGTGGAACAAAACTCACAAAGTTGGAGAGGTTTTCAAGTTTCTAGGAGACAATACATACGTCTGTTGAGTCAATGAGAGTGATCAGAAACACTGACTTGATATTAGACAAGGGTTTTCAAACAGACTGGAAAGATTCTCAAGTCAAAGTCGAACAATTCACAGACAAAACTCAACTGGTCTTTCTCAATAGAAGAAAACGTTGTTCAAAGGAAATAGCAAGATCATCTTTCCTCGTGGTTTTTTGTGGTCGCAGTTTTGTAGATATGCTTTTCTTGTTCACGGCTTTATATCCAGGCCTGTTTTTAGAATTGTCTAAACCACTACTAGTGTATGTGGATAATGTGGTACTACAAACTCACGAGTTGATCAATGACTTGTGATTCCTTTTGTTCTGTTCTATTAATATTTCTAGTACAACCTTTTGTCTGCTATAAAATTTCTTTGCTTGTATTGATCATTTCAAAGCGTCATTGTGTATCAAAACACTCTTCTTCAATAGATCAAGCTACTGCCGTTTTTGCTCAAGTTCATCATCTTGTAAAAAGAACAATAGTAGCAAGTTCACTATAATTGCGTTTGCTCTCAGGATGAGGTGGAATTGGACTAGATAGATTGTTTGCTGATAACTTTCGAGTCGTTGTTGTACCTCTATGAAACTTTTGCCAACAACTCTTTTGATATTCTTTCTAGTTCCTTGTACATGGATTGTAGTCTATTGAATCGTCCAAATTGTAAGAGATCAACAATATTTGAAAAACCAAGCAACCTTTGCGGTACAAATACTTTGACTGTAACCAACGAGTCTAGAATATTTTAGGGTGTGACGATCTGAAGAGTTGACTTGTGTAAAGAAAGTAAAAGGTATACAGTAATTCAACTACTCTGTTCAACGAGAAATTGCTTTTTTTACACTCTTTTGTAACTGTTATAGCAAATAAATCAACTTTATTTCGTTCCTATGATCAAAAAAAGACGGAA